CCAATGCTCAAGGAAATTAAACAGCGGGTATCAACTCGTAAACCTTTACCTTGATTCAACCATTGAATCGTGTAAGGTTTAGGATGAGGAAACAAGCTTAAGTTAAGCTTTTCCACCATGGTCTTGGCAGCAACATTAGAACAACTCCCACTATCAATGATTAGGGAGCATACCTTCTTTTGGATTGTACAACGAGTGTGAAATATGTTCTCTCGTTGTAGTTGTTCTTCGGGGCAGGGAATGGCACTTAAGGTCCTTCGGATGACCAAAATTTCGCCGTCATCTGGGCCAACACATTCTTCTTCTTCGGATTTCTCCTCTTCAACCAAAGAGTGGTCAAAGTCTTCATCATCATATTCAACAAGGGCCATCACCTTTTTGTTCGGGCACTCATTGGCATAGTGACCGGTACCCTGACAACGGTAACAAATGGGGGCTCTTTTGTTAGTTGGAGGGGCTGTTTTAGGTGTAAAGGGGGTGGAAGATGATTTGGAAGGATTTGTGGTTTTGGAATTTTGGGGCAGACCCTGGGTAATAGAGGTGGATTTTGGTGGAGTGTAAGTTGGCTTTGAGTAAGAGGAAGTGGTTCGGGAGAAAATGGCTTTGGATTTCCTGATTTGAGATTCCACTTTCAGAGCTAATTTAGTGAGCTCTTCAAAAGTGTTGAAACCTTGTAATTCAACCGTGTTGGCTATTTGAGTATTTAAGCCAAAAAGATACCTTACGAAGGTTTGTTCTTCATTCTCCTGCAGATTGCACCTTAGCAAGAGTTCTTCATATTCTCTGGTGTAATCCTCAACAGATTTTGAACCTTGTCTAAGCGTTTGAAGCCTAGCAAAATTCTCACGTACGTACTCAGTAGGTAGGAACTTCTTTTTCAAGAGAGTCTTCATCTTTTGCCAGGTATCAACCGGGGGTTTCTCATCTCGACTCCTCTTGGTTTTGATGTTGGACCACCAGGTAGATGCATATTTCCGAAACTTCAAGGCTACAAGCTTGACCTTTTTCTCGTCGGATACTTCTTTGAAGTCAAATACTCTCTCTACTGTTTCCAGCCATTCTAGGAACTCATCCGGGTCACTCTTTCCTTCAAAGATGGGAATATCCACTTTGAAATCAGAACCGGACTTATCTTGAGCTTTAGTTCTTATGGTGGCAATGGAACTAGCTTCTTCTTCATCATCACTGGATTGCAACATAGCTAGCTTTTGTTTAGTGAGCTGGGCTATTTGCTTGGCTAGATAATCAACTTGAGCATGCAGGGCTGCATTTGAAGCTACAAGTTCTTCATGGGTCATGTTTTGAGTGGTATTTGACATGGTGTTTGGTTGGGCTGATTTGTAGACTTTGTGTGATGTATTTGGGATGAAGTATCAAGAAAGGATTAGGAAAAAGGTGAGGAAAGTGTGTTTGGTCCTTTAGAAATGTTAACAACAAGCTCTGATACCAAATGTTGTACTCAAACACAGGAAATGATTCACTCAGGATTTGGAAGTGGGAGATAATCGATTAACAAGCTCAGTAAATCGATTAATAGGATCTGATACAGAACTGGGAATGTTCTGAGGAATCCAAAAGTCGATTGACTCTACAAGACAATCGATTTACAAGGATTTACTCGGAAACTGGATACTTCCTGAGGATGACGATAATCGATTATCAAATTATTGAAAATCGATTATGAGAAGTTTTGTACTTTGGAGAAGAATCTGCATACTACAATAGTCGATTATCAGTTAAGGATAATCGATTATTCAGAAGTTCAGAATCAGGATCAGAAGAAAAACAGAGAAAATGTTTTGAGATTTTTGAATAGGGATAAACCAAACAATATGTAAGGTCAATTGCTACCTGCCACATTTGCCTCTTCAATTGCTCTTCCGCTATGAATAGGGAAGAATGGCATCCAGAGTTAACGACGGAAGAGCAATTGAGAGGAACGACCAGGCCCGTTGCCTGGAGGAGGCATTTGAGTTTTTCAAGTCTTCCCCCGAGTTCACCGAGGTCGCTATGGAGCGGATGGACAAGTTGGTGGTCGAGTGGCTCAAGACCAGGCCCAGAGCTCAATGGATGGCCGGGGAGTCAGAGACTCCTCCGAGCGCAGCTGGTTTTCCGCGACAACCTAGCTCGGCTTCCCAAAGGAATCTCCCTCCCCGATCTTGGTCTTCCCCCTTGATGTCGTGCTTTTCCTGACTTCGACCCCAGTCCTTACTTGGACGAGGAGATTTCGAGTCCTTCCGACGAGGAAGAGGAATCTGCCGCGCAGGGCGACCAGGGGCTTCGGGCGAGTCTAGCGACGTCCAAGGTGGGCGAGGGCCCCAGCTCGGGCGTGTGATCTATCCCACTTTACCTTTGCATCTTTTGCCTCTGGTTTTGTAAAAATTTATGATTTTTGGGATGCCTTGGTGTTTTGATACAATATTCTCGTGCTTGCTGTTTTATTTTACTCGCCGTGTGCCTGTACTTTCCTTGTGCTTGGTTGCTGTACTCTTTCCTTTAAATTAACTCACTCCATTGATACGGATGGGCCTTTGGTACGGGCCCAACTTCTAGCTCTGGCCCAACTGCATGACAAGGCCCAGCCTCGGGACCAGTTTCTGTGCCGCCCAACTGTCCCACTGCACTCCTTGCAACTTGGATTGGACCGTTGCGCTGCTCAAGGTTGCTTTATCGGTTCAGCTCCCCTGGGACTTGACCGCCTCTTCGATTTCTTCACCTGGGGCTCTTTATAAGCCCCCCATTCTTCGTTTGACTCCTCCATCACACACCTTCTCTTCCTCCATTCTTGCCATGTCTAAAGAAGTTCCTACTTCTCTGACCCTTTCCGATGGGCCGTCCCCTTCTTCGCCGGAGCCTGCCTCTTCCCCCAGGTCCGTCAACTCCAACGACTGGGGGGGCTAGACCCCTATGAATTCTGCCGCCGGCGGTGGCCCTCGGTTAAACCGCCGCCCATTCCACCAAACCCTTATGATGACTTTAGTGCGGCGTCTAAGGCACTTTTAGCCAACCAGTTACCCAACGGAGAGGTCGACTGCCTTATCCACAAATGGTATTATGCGGCTTGGAAGAGCGTGCACGATGAGCACTTGCCCCTCTTGGAGTATGAAGGAGCATTTTACACAAGTCTGGAGCAGTGGACTAGCGAGAGTCGCACCAACTCGCCAGAGCGGCCTAACGAAGAGGTTGTGGTGGGGGAATAACTGGGTTCTCCCCTACCACGCCCCGTTGGTCGCTCTCCCCTCCGTGAGACTCCTAAACAACCAGGAGTAGCTCGAGATACTTCAGGGTATTCATCCTCATCTAGGTGATGCCGATTGGAGCTCATAGAAAAGAGAGTCCTCCTCCCTTTCTCTTTCCAGAGAGAAGGACGGGGGTTTTTGTTGCGGCTAAGGGGCGACCTTTTCTGCTCTATGTCGGAGAAGAGAGGTGGTCGCTTGTAGCGACTGGTGGCCAGGGTTTTGTCTGCCTACTCAACTGCAGAACTACCCTTCACCTCGCCCTTTCCCTTGTATTTTTCTTCCTTCCCTGGTTTCGGCCGCACAGAATTTGAGTTTTTCCTCTTGAATGTATGTAAGATGTGCGGAAGTTGTTCTCAATTTTATTGGGTATGTAGATGCAAAGATGATTCTTGATGTGTAATAGATATTTTCATGAATGGATTTTGATGTTACCCGTCTGTTTTGCTCATGACAAGTCCCATCTTTCTTCCAAGTTGTCTTTTGCACCTTATTTCAAGCACTCAGGTCTCCTCAACCTTTAGTTGAGAAAAACCCCTTGCTCCTCCTGGCTTAGCCATTTCCGGGGCTTTCTTGCCCCCCTCGGTATTGCCGTGTTCCTCAAAGGTTCCCCCCGGTCACCAAGGCGACCATTGGGCCTCATGCTTCTTATGCTCTGGACTTAGCCGATTCTAAGGCTTTTTTGCCTTGGCGTCGTCCCTTTCCTTAAGTGCGTCAACCTACCGGCGCCCCAGCGACTGTATGTCAAGCGCCCACTGATCACCAAGCGTTCACAGGCCTGGCCATATCTGATTAGATTTTAGTCATTAACTGGGTTCAGCACCTTACCCCTTGATGGGCATCTTAGTGCGAATCACCATGTAGTTTCTAGTGCGGATGTGCCCGATGGATTGCAGGGTGGTCACCTGCTTATTGACAAAGTCTCTCCTTTCCGAGGAAAGGAAACGCTTCTTCTGTTTGATTGGCTTGTGGGCCGGATCCACCGCCAATCTGTGGCAGATGATTCGTGAGTCGACTCTAGGCATATCCTCTGGACCCTAGGCAAATAACACCTTGAATGAACGAGGGACACCCACCAACTACTCCTTCAGCTTAAGTGGCAGGGCTTTACCTACCTTTACCTTCTGCTCCGGCTTGGCTGGGTCCAGGGAAACTTCTTCCACCTCCTCCGCCGGTTCCACTCTGGGTCGCCTTTCTTCCTTCTGTATCGCGGCACACATCGTGTTGACATTTTCATTGACCCGTGCCTGGCTCTTGGTCGCCTTGACATAGCACGACCGGGACAAACTCTGATTTGCTCTAGCCACCCCTACCCCGGTGGTGGTGGCGAACTTCATACACAGGTGGACAGGGGAGATTACGCAGTCCAAGTCCTCCAGACCCGGTCGCCCTAGGATTAAATGGTGTGCACAGTCAAGCTGCACTACCATAAATTCCATGTCAAGCCAAAGTCTGTGGGTGCCATCTCTTACCCCAGCCTTCACTGTGATGGTCCCCTCTACTTCAATAGTGTCCCCCGTGAACCCTGACAGCGGGGTGCGTATTGGCTTAAGGTCGTCCCGGGATAACCCGAGCTCTCTGAAAGCATTGTTGTACATAATATTGACCGAGCTGCCAGTATCGACCAGCGTGCGATGGACGACCACGTTATTGATCTCTACCTTTATTACTGGCAGGTAATCTTCATCCGTGAAGATCAATGGTTCCTTCTTCTTCCGCTTGGGCAGCGGTGGCCTGTGCACCTCGGCCAGGTGAACCATATCCTTCCATTTTATCCGTGAGGACACCGAGTCCCCTCCGGTATTTCCACCCATGATGAACTGACACCCCAAATGCCGGCGGTTCTGCCTTTCTTCTTCATCCAGGTCAGTCTCTCCCCAGATGTCTCCTTCCGTCTTCCTGCCCGTCTCCATTTCCTTTTTCAGCGTAACGCACTCCGACGTATTGTGGGTGCTGTTGCGATGATACTCACAATATTTGGGTGCGTCTTGGATGCTGTAACTCTCCCGGCTACGGGCAGGGGCTGGTAAGGACTACACCGTGTGGATAGGCCGTCTGCTCGTCTAATATCCTGTAGGGTTTGGTCCCCTACCAAAATCCTTCCTCTTTCTTCCTTCTTCTACCAGATGTCCGCTTTTCTTCTCTTTCCGGACGGGTGGCTCATCATCTTCTTTCTCCAACGCCAGGTACTTCGCCTTGGCCAGCATCTCCTGGCAGGTTGAGAGTAGATTTCGTCACAGCTCCTTGCGCACATCCCCCTGAGGGAGTGCCGCTTGGAGCATGGCGATCAAGGCTTGGTCGTCCGCCCCTTGGACGTCCCTAGCCTCCTTCTCCCACCTATTGATAAATTCCTGGAGCTGCTCCACTTTTCAGATTTTCACATTAAGCAAGTGTGGGCATGGGAGCTTCTACCTTCGGCTAGACGCAAAGTGTTCCAGAAACTTGTGGGCTAGGTCGCTCCACTTATCGATCGATCCTTTGGGCAACTTATGGAACCATTCACAAGCTTGCCCCTCCAATGTTGCTAGGAAACATCTGCATTTGATATCCTCAAAGTACGCATACTTAACCACGTTCGTGCCGAAACGAGCGAGATGGTCTTGGGGATCAGTTGTCCCATTGTACGCCTTGACTTGTGGGGTCTTGAAGTTGTCCGGGAGAGGACATGACATTACCCTTCTGGAGAAGGGGGTTACCTTGCTGAAGACCACCTGGCGGTACGGGTTCTGGGCATCTAGCCGCTTCTCCAGGCGTTCGTACATCCTCCACAACTTGATCGCCTCCTTATCCTCGACCGCCTTTCGTCGCTCTTCCGAGCCAATCTTGGATGTTTCCGAGGACTCTCCTCTCCTCTCCTTGAGTTTCTCTCTCAGGTCGCCCTTGCGAGCCGACTGAGTATCTTGTAGCCGATCGAACGCCGAGGTCCGGGGCTTCTTTGATTTGGGATCTCCCAACCGATTGAAGGCTAACGCCTGGTCAAAGGAGGACGACTCACCTTCCTCTTCCAACCTGGACAGCTCATCCTCCATTATCGCCTTTCTGTTAGGCTTGGTCGCCTTGTTTTTTTGGGACCGCCTTACCTTCTTCTTCTTTTTCCCCCTCGAGCCCGTAGGTCCAGCCTTTCCTCCGGCGGGTTCCCCAGTCACATCCTCCACCAAAACCTCAAGGTTCGGGGTCAGGGCCGCCATCACCTCCTTGAACTGTTCCGCGGTGATCCCCACCCTCTGGATGAGGGCCTCCGCCTCTGTCACACTGATGGGAGGGTGCCGACCTCCTGTGGCACTGTTCTCACCCTGGAGGGGGATTCTAGTACCCAAGTTTGCGTTGTTATGGGTTTGCACCATTGTTTTTGGTGGAAGGTTTTTCTTGAGTATGATCCTCAAGCTCTCAATGAGAGCACCAATTTGATGGACAATAAATCCACCGAATGATCCAATCTAGGAGAATGGATCACAATAAATAAAATAATAACAAGAACTCGAGAATTATATGTGTTCAGCTTGAGGATCCCTCCTTCGGGTCCCCTCTATTTATACATGGGTTTTGGATAATTAAGGTAATTTACAATCAATGGAAGTCTACTCCGCTGATGGCGCGATCCCCTTTTTCCAGCTTCGTCTCCGTTCTTCCGCTGAGTCTTCTCCCGTAGATTGGCTCTGCCAGCTGTCTTCTGAACTAGGTTAGTTCGGGCCTCGCGTCTTGGGCCGGCCCAGATCCAAGCCCTCACCGCATGCTTGACCAGGCGTCTTTCGGATAATGTGTTCGGGCCGCCCGCTGGATATCGGCCCATCATCACCATTACCATAATACCATTCGATCACAACAGATTCATTACTTTTCATACAAGGATTCCTTGATCTGCCATTGAAAACAACCAAGGTAATAAAGTAAATGGAACACTAAATGTAAATTTTCTATATGTAGAAATATTAAAAATGTTAAGGCTAATGAATGAGGGGCTATAAATTGGTGTGTTTATATATGGAAATTTCATATAAGGAGTCAAAATTTGAAGAGCCAAATTTGAAGAGCCAAAATTTCAAATGAGGGGCTCCCCTTCAATAGCCAAAATTTCAAAGATTTCAAGAAGAAATATATGAACAAAAAATGAGATGTAATATGTTACCATTCATGAATCATCCACCATCAGAGTAAATGTATGCCTTTAATTTGTAATGATAATGTTAAGATTAATTTGAAGCACTTGCAAAAGTATGCCATGTTTGTTAGCACTATCCACCCAAAGAAGTAGAATAAAAACACTTGGAATCATAGTAATTTGGGTAATAATATTATATTAATGAGTAAAGTTATTGTTTTTCTCTGAGGTTGGAAAGTAAACCACAAAAGCAGCAAAGAACCAAAAGAAAGAAAAGACTGACATGTATGACACACACACACATGTATATATACAGAAAAGAATTTTAGCTTGTAGTTGAACGCTAGAGTGATTGATGATCTTGTGGTGGGTGACAAAGTTTTCCAAATGCTAATCTAAAATTTCATTGCACCATGATTCAAGTGGAGAAGAATCAAAGGGGATTAAGCACTTCCCTAGTACAGAGTATTATAATTCAAGTTGAGAAGAAACAATTATGCAGCATAAAAGCAATATTAATCCACAAAAGTGGATTCCAATCGGAAAACATTTTAGAATCCAAAAGACTCCTATCCAAGTGTATTTGAATTTCCAATTCTCTATTTTTTATTCAAGTCAAGCCTTAAGTGTAATTTCGATTCAAAATAAAAAGATTCGGGAAAAAATTGAGAGCAAAAATTAGAGATCGTATAAGCTTACCAGCGGCAAAAGACGATGGCGACCTGGGTTGGTGCAATATTGAAATTGAGGAGGGGATCGGACGCAACAAGATGAGAAGGGAACCGGTAAGAGTGGAGAGCCAGGCAACATCGTTGGCGAATGAAACCCTGCAAAGAAGAAAGATGTTAGACAATGCGTGCAACTCTAGAGGGGGGGTGAATAGAGTTGTTGAGAATGATTACCGATTTTCGCAGGATTAATAATATAATCGTAAGTGCAGCGGAAATAAAAGAGAGAAGGCAAAGAACACACCGATGTATACTGGTTCACCACCTCGTGGCTAGTCCAATTCCCCGAGAGACTCTCTCGAAGCTACCACTACTTCCGTTAAGCTTACGGATGCTTAACAAACCGTTTACAACTTGAGAACTTGAATCCCACAAGCCTCGACACGACCGCTCGTAGATATGCCCTCTACAAGACTTCACAACCAAGACTTAAGTCACATAAGTCTTGAACAACAAGAAGAAAAATCTTCTTCAACCTCTCAACAATAGCTCTCAAAAGACTAGGAATGAGAAATGATTAAAGCTCTAATGGATGACAAAACACTCTCTTAAAACACTTAGTTTTCTCTCAAAATAATATAAATTTGAGGAAAGATTGATGGAGGATTAACACCTCAAGAATGGGGAGTACTGGAGTGTTTCATGATTACAAAAAATGACCAAGGAAGGGTGTTTAAATAGGAGGAGAAGAAATATATCCGTTGGTCCAAGAAAAGAAGCTGTGCAGAAAAGTTGCAGCAAAATAATCGATTAATGCATCACTATAATCGATTAATGCATCATAAAAATCGATTAATGCAAGTGAAAAAATCGATTAAATTCGCCAGAGAAAAATTCCTTCTGCGCAAAAAAGTGATAATCGATTAAAGCCAAAGGTCTTAATCGATTAGTTCCTTCTGGACGCGATAATCGATTAATTCCAGAGGTAAAATCGATTATTGGAACAATAATGTCCAAACAAGAAGAACACAAGCATGTGGGCGAGGTGAAGGACAAAATTGGAGCTTGTAGGTTGTTTCCAACAAAAAATTCAGGGGTAAGGCTCCCCATCAACTCAAACATTATTCAAAATAAATTTTGAATAAATGAAAGATATTTGGAGTGTAGAAATTGAGTCCCAAAATTATTTTGTGTGTCAAACTGACACAATAAATGTATTTTGAACAGTTAAAATGATTTTTCAACTGACTCTAAGAATAAATATAATTTTTATTTTAACTCTCATAAAAATAAATTTTGGATAGAAAATATTTTTGTCATCCTTACAATAATTTCTAAGACTCAAATAAATGAAAAATCTTCGGAAATCTTCTACTCCTCCGAGTCCTCCGTTAGGCGCTCCGAACGCGTCTCGGACTCCAATAAAATCCTGTGCACCTTCTTGAATACTTCAAGGAATGGCACTTCAAGTCTTCGTGTTTGTCGTTGTATCACTTTAATCTTGACTTGAATAAGTTGTGTTTGTCAATTATCAAAACCTGTGAGTCAACACTTAACAACACAGAAAGGGTTCATGCATTCCAACAATTTCCCCCTTTTTGATAATGACAAACACATGGAGGATATGCTACAACCAAATAACAAATTAAAGCATATACTCCTATACTCTTCCCCCTTTTGGCATTATCAAAAATAATGCAACAAAAGAACTCCTGCATTCCGGGGAAAAAAATTCTAAACAATTAAGAAAAATCATATTCCCCCTAAAGTCATGCATTTCTAGGAAATAAAATACTTCCCCCTTAAAGTATGCTATCTTTCCAAAAAAAATAAAGCATACAAAAAGATTAACACATATAGCAAAAAAATTCCCCCTTACTATATGCAAACATCCTATGTATATTCCCCAAATAAATTCATATAAATCTCAAAGATAACATTTAATTTAAAAAATTTACTCCCCTTTGATGCAATCTCTTTGGCTAAGTGCTTGGAGCATCCACTACAAATTTGTAGTCTTCAAGCACACCTTTCAAGTGCGTCACGTACCCGACCACCCATCTTGTTCTTCAAGAGCGATAAGGCAATCGTCTTTGGAAGGTTCATCATACTTCCATGAAAAGTATGTGAATTCATCTTGTTTGCTCATCTTCTTGAGCTTCGGGCACTCAAATTTTCGGTGACCAAGCTTTCCGCACTTATGACACTTTGGGGTGTTCTTCTTCTTGCTCTTTTTCAGCTCATATTTCATAAACTCGTTAAAACATTCAACCAAAATATCACAAGAAGTGTTAGAATCACTATCAACACTAGAACCGCTGCTATCACTATCCGAATAATTAATCTCTACTCTTTGAGAAGAAGATGCTTTAAAAGCAATTCCCATTTTCTTCTTTACATCAAGAGTATGAGAAAGATGATTTGTTTCATAAGTGATAAGGTTACCTCGAAGACCGTCGTATGTGATGACGTTGTAATCTCGGCCTTCATATATGGAGTTTACCTTTGACTCCCATTCCTTGGTAAGACTTCGCAGGATTTTTCTCACTAACTCTTTGTCGGTGAGCGTCTTTCCAAGCATATCAAGGTCGTTGACGATGTTTGAAAATCTTCCAAACATGTCCTCCACAAGTTCGTTCTCTTTCATAGCAAATAACTCATATTCATGGGTTAGTAAATCAATTTTTGATTCACGAACTTGAGGCGTACATTCGTATGTGACCATGAGCTTGTTCCACATTTGATTGGCGGTTTGGCAACGAGATATCTTTTGATAATCGTTGGCGTTGACAGCACAATACAAGAAGTTGATGGCGGTGGCATTTAATTGAGCCTTCTTAAGATCGGCTTCATCATATTCATCCTCGTCCTTCGGGATGAGTGTATCGCCTATCTTCTTCATTGGCAAGCTATCTCCATTCTTGATAGCAAGCCAAATTTTGAAGTTGTTTGATTGAACAAAAATTCTCATACGCTCCTTCCACTATGAAGCTGAGAATTTTGAGTTATGCTCGAATTTTTAAACTGAAAATAAAAAATCGATATCTTGTATAGTCCAAAATATTTTAAACTCCACATAGGCTGTGATCCAATACACTTATTTTATTAAGCATTCTAAAGAGAAGTTCGAAGTTCATTGGAGATTATAATACTATATGTATCCTGCTTGAGATGTACCGTAAATAGCTAAAGTTGAGCTTGACACCTTGTTTTGATCTTCGGGAGGAATTTGAAGAGCATGCCACGAAAGCTAAGCTCTTGCCTGAAAACACTCCCTATGAAGACAAGCTCATTCTCTATGGACTTTACAAACAAGCTACGGTGGGAAAAGTGAACACGGGTGATTTATAACTTTGTCTAAACCAACTTTTAATGCATTTCTGTCCTCAAATTCTTCTTTATCTTGCTGAGTTTTTGGGTTTCCTTTAAGAAACAGACCGTCCGGGTATTTTCAGTATGAAGGAAAGAGCAAAGTGGGATGCATGGAAGGCTGTTAAAGGTATATGGGATATGCAATATATCTTGGATGCGAAATCTCCCTTCCTCGAAGAACAAATAGAAATTTGTTTTTACAATACAAGCTATTTGGGACTTTTGTTGCGGTTTTTAATTGTGCCCATGGAACTCAATGGTTGATGGACTTGGTCTGCTCGAAAATGCCCAGTCTTACTGTACTATGGGTCTGAACTGTCTTGGTTCCTGCTGGCTAGCCTTTGGAAAGGCTGCTAGAACCAAGGGCTGCTATGGATTGATGTTTGGGCAAAGGTGGGCTGTTTTCTCTTGTAGGGTTTGGTCTCTCTTGGTGAGGCTCAAGTTTTGGAATGGTCTTTGTTTGTTTTTGTTCTTGTATTTTTTAGAAAAATACAAACGACGTGACACATACCTGCTATTGTTAAAAGGATTTGATTTTCCTCCCTCTGCACTCTCTACAACTGCCGTTTCACAAACTCGTAATGGCGCCACCTCAGTATTTAGACTCCCCACATCTATCTTTTTCCCAGCATGTTCGATGGATGTTATGCCACATCTATCACCTTCATACTCATGTGTCATTCCTAAGCTAAAAGAAGGCATATCACTTACCACCTCATGATATTTGGCTCGCACATGTGCTGCCTTCTAAGCTAAATCAACAGCAGCTATGACCTCTGGACTGCTCCAAATTGGATCGTCATCCAAGAGCAAGCTCTGAGGTTCCACACTACATGTTTTATCTGCACCATCCTTCTCAACATGTATCCCAATTAACTTTACCCCACACATTTTGCATTTTAACAAAGTTGGCACTGCGAGTCACTGTTTTTGGAGCGTCCTGAACCATTGTTATTAGATCAATAATCGTGCTTGCCAGGATGTTGCTTTTTTCAGCAAATTTCCTTACAAGCACCTATAAAAATTAAATTCCTATAAGATTATCATTTCTTAGCTTTGTAATTTTCATCCCATCTTGAAAAAAAGAATATCAAATAAATAAAAACAAGTACATTTTACCTCCTC